AAAGAGACAAAAGGAGACAGATAAAGAGACAAAAGGAGACAGATAAAGAGACAAAAGGAGACAGCAGCAGCTGTTCTGCTTACAAGTATCCCCAGATAATGGCTTGGGATAACCATAGTAAGGAGCGCAACAACAGTAGCAGGTACAGCAGCAGCAACAAAGCGTCTCTGCTGCTGCTGCAGCTCTGCTGCTGCTGCTGCTGCAGGCCCAAACAGCAACTCCCCCCGGGGAGACCACTCAACACTCCAGCCGCTGCTGCAGCACAGCAGCAGCAGCTGCCTAGCCCCTATTACCTGAGGGGTGTAGACAATGCGGACGCAGAGGCTGCTGCTGCTTGCATTTGCTGCTGCTCCTGCTGCAGCAGAAGACGCACCAGCAGCAGCAGCAGCAGCAGCACTCTCCGTCGCAACTGCAGCAGATACAACTCCAGGGACAGACTGTAAGAAGGTTTTAAACCCCGCACCCCACGCTGCTGCAACGCGGCTGTCTCCCAACGAGGGAGCAGCAGCAGCAGCAGCAGCAGCAGAAGGGGACGTGCAGCAACGCGGAATAGCCGCGCAACCGCGTGCACCTTCTGCTGCTGCAGCTGCAGCAGCAGCAGCAGCAGCTTCTGCTGCTTTCTGCAGGTTCAACTCGCGGTCTCCAAGACGCCGCACGTCTGTTGGGGAGACATGCAGGACAGCTGTGGATTCTGCTGCTGCTGCTGCTGCTGCTGTTGCTGCGCTGCTGCTGCCATGCTGCTGCTGCACTACTTGGTCTGAGAGCAGCAGAACTCGATAGCCTAGGCTTGTCAGCTGCTGCTGCAGCTCTTCAGCTGTTAACGTTGGCGAGGCGCTGCCATCTGCTGCTGCTGCTGCTGTTGCTGCTGCTGCTCCTGGTGCTGCTGCGCAGTACTCCACAGATGCACGCTCCAGCAGCAAGGAGACACTTGCTGAAGAGACACCCGGAAGGTGCAGCAGGTGCTGCTCTATCGTTCGCACGCAGGAGGCGCAACTCATACCTGCAGCAGCAGCAGCAGCAGCAGCAACAGCAGGAGCAGCAGCAGCAGCAGCACATAGTTAAGACAGCGCATACAAATAGCATAACTGCATTTGCTGCTCAGGCATCCAACCGAGAGGCGAAAACTTCAAACCCTAAACCCCAAACCCTAAACCCTAAACCCTAAACCCTCAAACCCTAAACCCTAAACCCTCAAACCCTAGGCCGTTAACCCTGGCTTACCGTGAACCTGAAAGATCGCCATTCTGCGTGTGCTTCTCTGCTGCTTCTCCTCTGCTGCTGCTGCTGCTGCTGCTGCAGGCTTCAAGTGAGGAGACAGCTCCTCTGTCTCTTGGCTGTCTCCTTTGCAGAGACCCCCCTTGCTGCTGCGCGCGGCTGTAAAGCCGAGACCCTCTATAAAATCTATTAGCTGCTGCTCCGTTACCTGCAGCGCACAAGCCAAACCCTAAACCCTAAACCCTAAACCCTCGGACGCGTAGGGAGAGACGATCACGCGCACAACCAGCAGCTGCAACAGCATTCACGCCAGCACCCTCAGCAGCAACACCCGCAGCAGCAGCAGCAGCAGCAGCAGCAGCAGCAGCAACACTAACCTCATCGTTGCAGGAGATAGCAGCATCTTTCTCCTCTAGCGATACGGCAGCTGCACGTACACCGCGGAGACATCTCAACGCATTTTCTATGGAGCGCGCGCAGCTGCTGCAGGTCATGCCCTCCACCTGCAGCTGCACAAAGTGGACCATTGCTGCTGCTGCTGCTGCTGCTGCTGCTGCTGCTGCTGCTGCTGGTCGTAATAGTACGCTGCCAATGCAGCTCCCGCTGCTGCTGTTCACTTTGCTGCCTTGACACTAAAAGGCCAGCGGCAGTGAAACGGGAACTGCTGCCGCTGCTGCTGCCGGTTTGCTGCTGCTGCTGCTGCAGCTGCTGCTGCAGGTTTGCTGCTGCTGCTGCTGCTCCTGCTGTTGCAACCCGCACTGTTGCTGCAAAGACGCTGCTTTGTGCAGCAGCAACTCCCTGCTGCTTAGCCTTCTGGAAGAAGGCGGTGGAGGAAGCGGAAGTCAAAGACAAGCGGCACCCTAAGCCCTCAGCGCGCAAACCCTAAACCCTAAACCCTAAACCCTAGACCCTAAACCCTAACCCTTCACTGCAGAGCGTGGGGAAAGCGAAGGGCAAGCTTCGGTTTAAACCCTTGAGCTGCCTGTACACCTCGCGGGTCAGTTATATCTGAAGAGCCAATGTAGCTGACTGCAGCCGTCCAGCTTAAACCCTAAACCCTAAACCCTAAACCCTAAACCCTAAACACTGCAAACCGCAAGAAAAAGAAGCAATTTTCAATCAAAACAGAAGAAGACAGCTGATAATAATTATATTTAATTTATTTCAGTGAGATGTGCAGGAAGAAAGAAGAAGGAGGGCCCCCTTGGGTCTGTGTTGCGCCGTAGCAGCTGCAGCAGCAGCAGCAGCTGCAGCAGCAGCAGCAGCAGCAAATTCTCCTCCTGCTGCAGCCGCTGCAGCAGCTGCTGCTGCATGCGTATTAATAATCTTCTTTCACCCTCAAAACAAAAACAAGGAGACAGATGCGCAGCGCTAAGCCCTCGATCCTCGGCCCCACCGTGCACACGTAAACCCTAAACCCTAAACCCTAAACCCTAAACCCTAAACCCTAAAGCCCAAACCCGACCTCTTGAGCTCCATCTCTTACAGTCATCTGACGTTCCTACGCTTGGGGATCTTGCTGCTGCGCAGCTGTTTGTTTGCAGGTAGCCTTGCTGCTGCTGCTGCTGTGTTGCTGCTGTTGATGCTACTGCTGCTGCTGTTGTTGTTGCTGCTGCTGACTCTGTAGGCGCAGAGGGTGGCGTTGACTGTTTACAAATTAATAACAGCAGCATTGAGGGTTTAGAGGATTTCCTCACGTGCAGATCTGGGGTCTAGTTTCTAGGGTCTAGGGTTTAGGGTTTAGGGTTTAGGGTTTGTGTTTCTTCAGGTGCAGAGACCTTCACCACCATCATCGTGCAGCTTTGTTGCTTGCGAAGCAGCAGCAACAGGGGCAGCAGCAGCAGTGACAGCAGCAGCAGTGACAGAAACGGCAAAGAAAGCAGCAGCAGTGACAGAAACGGCAAAGAAAGCAGCAGAAGCAGAGACAGCAGCAGCAGCAGAGACAGCAGCAGCAGCAGCAGCAGCAGCAGCAGCATTCGCTGCTGCTGCTGCTGCTGCACATTTGGAAGACTCAGTGGCCTATGCTTCCTCCTTTTTTTTCTACTCCCCACCCCTCACCTTAGCTTAGCGGCAAGACCCTAAACCCTAAACCCTAAACCCTAAACCCTAAACCCTAAAGGCTTGATGAGGGAGGCTGAGGGTTTGGGGTTAGAGGTGCAGCTGCGCCGGCTGCTGCGGCAGCTGCTGTCGTATAAGCAGCAGCAGCAAACCATCAGCGAATTGCTGCAGAGTATAGGGACACAGATCTCTGACAGGAGGTAAGGAGGTTGCAGCTGTTGCTGCTGCTGCTGCTGTTATTACTGCTGCTGCTATTGCTGATGCTGCTGTTGCTGCTGCTGTTGCTGCTCCTGCTCTCGCTGCTGCTGCTGAACCTGTCTATACACCTGAAGTGTGCATGCAGGTATCTGGAAGGAGACCACTTAACGACTCTGCTGCTCAACCCCCAGGTAAGCAGCAGCAGCAGCAGCTGCTGCAGCAACAGCAGCAGTGTTTGCTGCAGCAACGGTAGCACCAGCAGCAGCAGAAGCTGCAGCAACAGCAGAAAGAAGCCAGCACCCTTCTATGCTGTACTGCATAATTGATGCAGCAGGCTCATCTGCTCTGCTTGCTGCTTGCTGCTGCCTTTGCTGCTGTATTTGTTGCTGCATTTGCTGCTGTATTTGCTGCTGCCTTTGCTGCTGCAGCTGCAGGTCCGCTGCTTGGCGAATTTCAACGCCGCGCTGCTGCAGCAGCAAAGCCGACTGGAGGCCCTCCATACTGAGCTTGTGCGTCTTGCAGCAGCAGCAGCAGCAGCACCAGCAGAAGCAGGAGCAGCAGCACCAGCAGCGACAGAAACAACAACAGCAGCAGCAGCAGCAGTGACAGAAACAGCAGCAGCAATAGCAGCAGCAGACTTGCGGGTTGGTGTGCTGCATCTCAGGAGAAGACAGTAGAGTCGATGCAGCAAACTGCTCTCTGCTGCAGAAGCATTTGTATAAAGGCAGCAGCAGCTGCTGCTGCTGTTGGATCTCCTGAAGCAGCAGCAGCAACAACAGCAGCAGCAGACCCGAACGACGCCGCCGCTGCAGCAGATATAGGTGCGTTTCTGACCCCACCAAAGACAACTCCACACGGCAGCAGCAGTGCAGCAGCAGCAGGGGCAGCAGCAGCAGCAGCAGAAGTAGTAGTAGAAGGAATAGTAACAGCAGCAGAACTATCTGCAGAGACTGCTGTTCTTGCAGCTGGAGCAGCAGCAGCAGCTGCCGCTGCAGCATCATCGCTCTCCTCGTCAGAGAAGCAAAACACTGGGGCCTCTTTTGCTGCGCTGTTGTGCTGCTGCTGCTGCTGCTGCTGCTGCTGGTGCTCTTCTTGCTGCAGCGGGCTTGATGGAGACAGTTGCTGCTGCTTTCTCCCGACAGGTGGCGCTGCAGCAGCATTTGCTGCTGATGCTGGTGCGTCTGACTCTAAACCCTAAACCCTAAACCCTAAACCCTCAAGGGCTAGTGAACCGTGCACGCTGTTATCTTGTTAACTGTCTCTCTCTCCAACAGAGCGGCAGCAGCAGCTGCTGCTGTACGTTTGCTGCTGTTGCTGCACAATTGCTGCTGCTGCTGTACGTTGGCTGCTGCTGCTATGCGTTGGCTGCTGCTGCAGCACGACATAGGGTGTACAGACACCCGAGAGCTGCAGCGGCTGCTGCTGCTCTTCTGCGAAAGACCCTGTGAATACCCTCTAAGGAAAGCAGGTCCGTTGCTGCTGCTGCTGCTGCTGCTGCTGCTGCTGCTGCTGCTGCTGCACTCGTGCTGTTGCTTCTGCTGCTGCTTTTGGTGCTGCGGCTAATGCTGTGTTTGATTTCCTTTTTACTGCTGGGGGTAGGGCTGCTGCTGCTGCTGCTGCTGTTGCTGCTGCTAACAGCCAGAAGGCTGTTCTCATTTATTATTTATTATTTGTAATCCTTTATTTGTTTAACATTTACTCGTTTATTATTATTTATTAACTGCTTTTTACTGTATATTTGTGCATTATGTGTTCGTGTATAATATATTTATTTATTATATATTTTTGTATTACATATTTACTTTTTATGTATTTGTTTGTTATATATTTTAATATATATTTATATATTTTTACTGCGTAGTTGTTTATTGTTTATTATTTGCTTCTTATATATCTTTATTAATAATTTATTTATTAATAATTTATTTATTTATTTTTGTTTTTCTTTAGGGGTGATGGAGGCAGCAGAGGAGGGCCTTCGCCGTTTGCTGGCCGAGCGAGAATAATAAATAATAAATAATAATTAATAAATAAATAAATAAACAATAATAATAATAAAAGTAATATTATTATTAATAGCAATTATAAATAATAATACTAATAAATAATAATAAATAATACTAGCAATAAACAATATTTGTTTTTATTCTTTTATATGCATTTTTTTATATTATTCTTTTGTTTATAGTCAGGGGGCCCTCTTAGTGTGGGGCCCCACAGCAACACTGCTGTGGGGCCCCACAGCAGTGTGGGGCCCCACAGTAGAGGGGCCCTACATTCCGTTTGTTGAGCGCAGAAGCTATATAATCCTTTTAAAGGCTGCGGTGTATGTGCGCCTCACTGCAGCAGCAGCTGCTGCTGGTGCTGATGCAGCTGCTTCTGCAGCTGCTGCTGCAGCAGTTGCTGCTACAGCAGTTGCCGCTGCTGCAGCAGTTGCCGCTGCTGCAGCAGTTGCTGCTGCAGCAGTTGCGGCTGCTGCTGCAGCGACTGGCTTATACGTACGAATACCCAAGTTTATTTATATTACAAATATAACAGAAAATCTGCTGAGTCTCTACATAGACCTCAAGTAATACATTTGTTTGTTGAGGCTGAAGAGGAGGAGACAGACAGACACAGACAGCAGCACTAGCTGCCTCTGCTGCATGCGCTGTTACCTTTTGGGGCTTTGTTCGGGTGTATGCGCACCTCGACGCATGCCAGTGCATGCGCTTGAATATATATATATATATATATATATATATCTTTTATTATTATTAGTATGCAGTATATAATTATAGCGAAATATTATTATTATAAATATACTTTTTAATCACTACGATATAAATTCATATATATAAATATATATACACACATATATATATATACATATACATATATATATATATATACATATATATATATATATATACATGCACATATATATATATATATACATGCATACATATATATGCATCTGTATATACATATGCATGCATGCATATGCATGCATATATATATATACATATATATATATATATATATGCATGCATATATATACATGCATATATATATATATATATGCATGTATATATATTTACTTTATAGTAAATGATACACTGTCTAATAAATATATTATACTTTATTATATATAATACAACCCAACAGATTATATATAATAATAATAATAATAATAATATCTTAATACAAGCCTAGGGCTCCACAAGAGGAGACGAAGGAGACAGACAGAAGAAGGAGAAACTAGGGTTTAGTTTAGATTCAGACTAGGGTTTAGGGTTTAGGGTTTAGGGTTTAGTTCGCAGAGCGACTGTCTCCAATTGCCAGCACTGCAAATTTTAATTCTTCGCCCCGCGGCTTCACGAACTGCTCTTTTATCGCCTCACAAGCAGCCTGAAGCAGCAGCAACAGCAGCAGCAGCAGCAGTAGCAGCAGCAGGGAGACACACAGTAGTAGCAGCAGGTAGAGCCATAGCAACAGCAGCAGCAGGAAGAGAGACAGCAACAGGAACAGCAACAACAACAGCAGCAGCAGCAGCAGCAGCAAAAGAGAAGCCCCAGATAATCCACCGTCTGCCTGCAACGGCAGCAGTGCACTGCAACGAAGGGTTTAGGGTTTAGGGTTTAGGGTTTAGGGTTTGCACCTGAGCAAAGGTTTGACAGGGTTTAATCTTCGCCCTGATAAGGGGCTTAGGCTTTCTACCGTCCAGCTCAATAACAAACCCTCGCCACGGAAGGAGACAGGTAAAGTGCATGTTGGTGTTTGCTGCTGCTGCTGCTGCTGTCTCTCCCTGCTGCTGCTGCTGCAGATGCAGACACGCTAGCCTAGCGTTTGTCTCTAATGCAGCACCGCGACCCGCAGGGTCTAACGCCCATGTGTCCCCTGCACACAATAAACCCTAAACCCTAAACCCTAAACCCTAAACCCTAAACCCTAAACTCTAAACCCTTAACCCTTTGTGATAAGAAAACGATGCAGTTCGTTAGGGAAGCCCTAAACCCTAAACCCTAAAACCCTAACCCTAGACCTTAAACCTATAGATGAAGGATAGTAATGCAGCCCATAAACCCTAAACCCTAAACCCTAAGCCCTAAAGTAGGCGAGCCTAGCGAATATACCTACCATGCTTCCTTTGTGCTTATGCTGTCTGCTCAAGTAAGGCCCTTAAAGCTTAGGGTTTAGGGTTTAGGGTTTAGGGTTTAGAGTACTGAAGAAGTCATGCAAGAGGCCGTCTTTAGGAAGGGGGAATTTATCTCGAGATAAATTTGCTGTGCAGTGCAACAACGCCACCGTCGCGCATGCGTTAGGCACCGTCTAACAAGACAAAAGGAGACACTTAAAGACAAAAGGAGACACTTAAAGACAAAAGGAGACATTTAAAGACAAAAGGAGACACTTAAAGACAAAAGGAGGCAGTTAAAATAATAAAAGCAGACACTTGAAGACAAAAGGAGACATTTAAAGACAAAAGGAGACGGTTAAAATAATAAAGAGACAGTTGATATAATAAAGAGACAATTAAAATACTAAAAGGAGACTATTCAAATAATAAAAGACAAAAGGAGACACTTAAAGACAAAAGGAGACACTTAAAGACAAAAGGAGACACTTAAAGACAAAAGGAGGCAATTCAAACTAAAGGAGACAGCTTCACTGTCCCCTATCAATCCATCCCCGTATATCTGAACAAAACAAGGGTTTAGGGTTTAGGGTTTAGGGTTTAGGGTTTACCTGTTTCACAAACCACACAGTCTTGCTTATCTCTGCATCATTTTGCTGCTGTTCTTCAGGCATCGGCTGATGCAGCCTTTCTTCTTCATCTCTGTCTGTTAAAGGAAACAGCAGCAGCAAACCTACGGTGTCTGTACACCTCAGCATATCCAGCGCCCACGCATCTAATGCAAGAACATCTTCAACCTGCAGCAGGGGGGCCCCCTGGGGGCCCCCCTGGGGGCCCCCCAGAGCAACCAAGTAAGGCTCTAGCACCTCAGGAGTGCCTTCTATGGGCAGCCACTGTTGCTGCTGCTGTTGCTGTTGCTGCTGCTGCTGCTGATTCTCTTCCTGCTGCGCAGACATTGTGTGTCGATAGTGAAGCGAGTTTTCTATCTGCTCGTAAAGATAAAAGGTTTAGGGTTTAGGGTTTAGGGTTTAAAAGCTAGGGTTTAGGGTTTGCTGCTTATATATGTTTGCTAACTCCAAAGCTGCCTGGGGGCCCGGGGCCCCAGCCCCACTGGGCTGCAGCAGCAGCAGCTGCTGCTGCTGCTGTTGCTGCTGCAGTTATTGCTGCTACTGCCTCCTCCCTGCAGTGTCTTTGATAACATTTGGCGTTGACAGGCTAAAACAAAGATAGGGTTAGGGCGCAGGACCCGCCTTGCTGCAGCAAGAGCAGCAGCAGCAGCAGCAGCAGCAGGAGCAACAGTAGCAGCGGCAGCAGCACGGACCCCACGGAGCTTGATGAGGGTATTTGTTAAATTCTGCTGCGGAGGCCGCAGCTCTGCTGCAGCAGCAGCAGCAGCAGCAGGACAGCAGCAGCAGCAGCAGCAGCAGAAGGATCTATGGAGCCGCAGTCTTTGCTGCTGCGGTACCAGCTGCCGTCCCTTCTCAGCAGCAGCAGCAGCAGCGACCGACAGTTGTGTGTATGTTGATGAGCAGCAGCAGCAAACTGTGGGGCACTTAAAGCAGCAGCTGCTACAGCTGCTGCTGCGGGGCTCCTTTTGCTGCGAAGCGCCTCCCCACAGCAGCAGCAGCAGCGGCGGCGACTGCAGCAGCAGCAGCAGCAGCTTGCTGCAGCTGCGGCTGCAGGGATTTCTGCTGCCGAGTGAACAGCCCTTAGCAATACTACGCGATGGCGATGTCCTCTCAGTCTGCATGCACCAGCTGAACCTTAAGGCGCAGCAGCAACAGCAGCAGCAGCAGCAGCAGCAGCAGCAAGCAGGGGAGGTGCTAGGGAGCAAGCGTTTCTTAGGGGAGGCGGAGAGGCGCATTAAGAGGCAAAGACGTGCAGCAGCAGCAGCAGAAAAAGCTGCTGCAGCGGCAAAAGCAGCAGCAGCAGCAGCAGCAGCTGTCAGAGGGAGCACCGCTGCTGCACGATGCAGCAGCACGAGCAGCAGCAGCGAGGAGAGCAGCAGCGAGGAGAGCAGCAGCAGCAGCAGCGAGGAAGACTCTCCTCAGCCTCTAAATAGGCGTGCTGAGGTCCCAGCAGCAGCACGGACCAAACCTGCAGCAGCAGCATCAACAGCAGCAGCAAGAGCAGCAGCAGCAGCAGCAGCAACAGCAGTAGCAGCAGCAGCAAGAGCGCCTCCATCGCGAACCCAACTGCGCCCTGGCCACGTCATCATCGGCAGCAGCAGCAGCAGCAGCAGCAGCGACAGCGAGAGCGAAACGGACAGCGACGGGCGAAGCGGCTTGCAGCAGCAGCAACGGCAGCAGCAGCAGCAGCAGCGGGGGAAGCAGCAGCACCGTTTAGGACCTGGGCCGCTCCCTGTGCCCTTGCAGCGAATTCAGCAGCAGCAGCAATGCCAGCAGCAGCAGCAGCAGCAACAGCAACAACAGCTGCAGCGGCAGAAACCGCAGCAACAGCAGCAGCAACAATTGAAGGGGAGCTGCAATAAGCCAGCAGCAGTTGATGGGGACTGTGCAGCAGGAGCGTCTGAGTCGGCAGCCCCTGCAGCAGCAGCAACAGCAGCAGCAGCAGCAGCAAGAGCAGCAGCAGCAACGGAAGCAGCACCTGCAGCAGAGGACTTCGTTGGCTGGCAGGGGTCTCTCTCTGTTGCTCTTGAGGGCAAATGGCTTCAGGCGCAGCTGCTGCTGCTGCAGCAGGGAGTGCCGCAGCTATCGCAGCAGCAAATATTCCGTGTGCTGCAGGTAGATATGCAGCGGGGTCGTTTGCTGCTGCAACCAGCAGCAGCAGCAGCAGCAGCAGCACCAGCAGGGAGGAGAGGCGGCGCAGGGAGACAGCAGCAGCAGCAGAAGCGGTGGCGCGATTGGACAGAGCTAACAGCAGTTCAGCTGCTGCAAAAGGACAAGGAGGCCCTCGAGCAGCAGCAGCAGCAGCAGCAGCAGCAACAGCAGCAAGAACAGCAGCAAGAGAAGCAGGCGCGTGCTGGGTCAGGTGAAAGCAGCAGCAGCAGCAGCAGCAGCAACAGCAGCAGCACCACTATCTCTAATGGAAAGAGCAGCGGCCCCGTGCAGTATCGACCTCTCAGAGAGCTGCGCGCTGCTGCTGCTGCAGCAGCAGCTGCTGCTGCTGCTGCGGATGCTGCTCCTCCTACAGCAGCAGCAGGTGCAGCAGCAGCCAAGGCAGGAGACGCAACGCAAAAGAGACGCAGCAGCACCAACAGCCAAGCTGCAACTGCAGCAACAGAATCTGAGGAGGTCCTTTCACCAGCAGCAGCAGCAGCTGCAGCACTTCCTGCTGCAGCTGCTGCAGCGGATAAAGAGGGTGAAGCTACAGCCGCAACAGCAGCTGCTGGTGCAGGAGCACCGTCAGCAGCATCGAAGGGGGCATCCGCTGCCTCTCCTGCTGCTGCTGCTGCTGCTGCTGCTGCTGCTGGCAAGCCTGAAAGTGCAGCAGCAGAAGCAGCAAAGAAGGATATCTATCCCTGGATTGCAACAGCGCTGCTGCATGTAGAACGCAAGAGGGGCGCCCCGCAGCAGCTGCTGCTGTCTACAGGGCCGCTGCAGACGCTGCAGCTGCCTGGAAGTGAGGCCTGGCTGCAGCAGCCGCAGCACCTGCAGCTATGGACCAAGGCGCTGCAGCAGCATCAGCAGCAGCAGCAGCAGCAGCAACAGCAGCAGGAGCAGGAACAGGACAGCAAGCAGTCTGAGGCGGCGTCTGTATGGGCAGCAGCAGCAGCAAGTGCTGCTGCTGCTGCAGGAGCTGCTGCAAAGGAGGCCCTACCCTTATCTGCTTGCTGTGGGGTGTTGTCTGCTGCTCTGCTGGCAGCAGCACAGCGGCTGCTGCAGCAGCGGCTGCTGCAGCTGCGTGCTGCAGTGCGGAGACAAGTGGATTGGTACTTCTCTCCTTCTAACTGGGAGCAAGATTCTTTTCTGCAAGAGCAAGCAAGGGCCTTCTCCTCTATGGCTGCTGCAGCAGATCAGCAGCAGCAGCAGCAGCAGCGGCAGCAGCAGCAGCAGCAGCAGCAGCAGCAGGTGGCAGTGCCTCTAGAGGTTGTGCTGGGCTTCCCTCGTCTGCAGCGGCTAACTGCTGATATTACTTTTGTTATTAATTCTCTCAACGGCGGTGGAGGGCTCCGTCACGTTGCAGTGGGGGGCCCCTCCAGCAACCTCCTCGTAAGAAAAACTGATTCTAGCTAGCTAGCCAGTTAGTTGCCTGGATCGCTAGCTAGCTGGGTCGCTAGTGAACCCTCTAGCTAGCTGTGCATAGCTAGCTAGCTAGCTAGCTAGGCAGCTCTCAACATAGCTAGCTATTAGCTAGCTATTAGCTAGCTGTTGGCTAGCTAGGGCTAGCTAGCGACGGCGGTCTTCTTTAAAGGAGGCGATCTCAAAGAGCCTCAAGAGACTGCGGAGATGAGGGGTTAAAGTGGGGAAGAGTTTGAGGTGTACAGGCAGCTGGAGACAGAAGAGACAGCAAATAGTTTGAGGTGTACAGACAGCTGGAGACAGAAGAAACAGAGACAGAAGAGACAAAGGAGACAGCAGATAGTTTGAGGTGTACAGACAGCTGGAGACAGAAGCAAAGGGTTTGGCTGAGAAAAGACAGACGAATCAAACCCCTAACAACGCATGCAAACCCCTATATAATATATATATATATATATATGTATATATATATATATCTATTATATGTATATATAGACAGAATAAATCTCGTATATATACAAATATATATATATATATATATACATTTATACATATATATTTATACATCTATATATATATATATATGCATTTGTGTATTTGTATATCTCTATGGCTCTGTATATGCGCAGATTAAATGTATATATTTTTGATACATTAATATATGTATATATATATATATATACATCTACGTATACATATATACAATATATATATATACACAATATATATATTATATATTTAAATATATTTATGTAAACAAACCCATCGATAGCAAACACAAAGCATAAAACGCATTCGCCCTGCAGCCTCCAATTAAGATTTGTACATTTTGTTTAGGGTTTTAGGGTTTAGGGTTTAGGGTTTAGGGTTTAGGAATTAGGGTTTGGAGTCTAGGTCTAGGGTTTAGTGGTATTAGCGCTAAAGG